TCATGGTAATACCTACTGCTTTGTTTTATTCAAGAACGTTTTAATATCATAATATAAGATATCGGCTAATTTAAAGTTATTATTTTCACAAAAATAAAATAAATATTTAGGTATCCGTAGCCCGTAGGTAATACTGATCATTTATCGTGAACGGACCCATATGATATATTATTATTGTTTTTATAATCTTAGTATATTGATAAAAATGTAAAAATATTATTCGCTTGAAACGTATTTTATACGTTTTTTTTTTATATTGCAAATATTGATAACCATATTATAATAACGTGTGTACATTACAACTACCAATACGACTGTCAAGAGATTTGGCCATGTAGGTCGATCGCTATTATACATTACATAATATATATGTAGGTGTTATTTATATGTATTATAGTTCATTTATTCATTATTATATTATGTTTACCGAAAACTGATATGGATTATTTCCTATTGCATAAGAACAATATATAATATATTATTATTAATTAATAATTATTACAACGCCGGTTTGGCAATTCATACAATTTGCCGATTAAAAATGTTATTAAAATAACATTATTTATCTTCTTTTATTTTCTGGGGAATTCGATAAATAAAAAAAAAAATTCTGCTACTATGTAAAAATAGTACATAATACAATTATATATATATTTAAAAATCTGTAGTAAAATGTATCGATAAAAAGAGAAAAAATGAATGTAATAACTTAAAAATATATCACGATAAAATATCGTAAAATTGTTTTATGGTTCAAAACTTCAATCTATATCTTATAATAGTAATTAAATTCTTCTATGTAATTTTGTTTAAAAATATTATGTAGGCACATATTATTATAGTTTTTGACTGAACAAAAACCAATTTAGTTACTTACTTACTTCCTATTCTTACAATAGCATATAAAATATAATTATATATTTTCAAATATACACAAGTGACCGATTGGCGATTAGGTATTTAGGTAGGTAGCTGGTAGGTTCAATCAGCGCCGGATCTACAAACTATGTAACCCGGGGCAAAACATAATATTAGTGCCCCTTAAAGTTACCAATAAAAAATGCATGTGTCAATTAAAATGTAAAAAAAAATATGGGTTTAAAATTTGAAATTGGCACCCCTCTATGTTTAGCACCCGGGGCATGAGCACCCTTAGATCCGGTACTGGGTTCAGTACTTCAATATAAATAAACAAATTAACTGCCAACTATAATAATCAACAGAAACAAATAAAAAATATTTGAATAATACTTCTATATAAGACTGTATAGTATAATGTGTGAAGGGTCCAGCAGTGTTTGTTTTCGTAAATACAAACAACAAAGAACAAAAAAAATATCAATGAAATAATTTTTTTAACATTATAAAACCAATAGGCAATAATACATTCTTCACTTTAATGAGAATCTAAAATACGAAATCTGTTAATTATACATTTCAATCTCGTCAATAGTGCTTACAATAAAATTATGGCGTATTGGAATTTAAATTGTTTATATGGCCCGATTTCAAAGGATCATTAAATCTGCCATATAATATATTATATAACAAGGTATTTGATTGAACACCGGATTACAAAATATTCTCATTAAATTATTAATCTCTATATTATATGTTGAGAATTATACTTATGCAGGGTGATGTTCACGAATATAACTAAATATTCAGAAATCTGTATACTCATGAATACTTATACCTGCCTAATGGCTAATACCACTTATCTACTGCTTTCATCTGTTTGTTATTAATTATTATGACCTTAAGACAATTTCACTCATAAAACAAAACCACGGTTATTCGAGAAATAGGCAAACCAATAATAATAATAATCAATTACAATATTATAATTTATAATGTCATTAACATAATATTATCAGGTCGGTTAAGTTCAGCAATCCTTCGTTTTGAATTTATAGTTGTTTAAACGTCAAACATTTACAAACTATTTGCTAATGTTATAGTTTGTTATAAACTGATAAACAACAACAATTAAATTATTGTTTAAGACTTCACACATAAAAATTTAGGTATTTCTAAACTGAAATAATAATACATAGTAAATTATTTATAACAACCGAGGAAGTTCTCTGTTGTACATTAGGTGTCTAGAAGAGTCACCGTAATGAATGTGTTGAAATTGAATAATTCAATGATATTGTAACGAACATGTCGTCATCGACATCGTACATTACTCCTAGTATGCCGAGTAAGGAAAAATATGAAATATATATTATGCTGACGCGATGTTTAGCTGACATCACGTCAATAACCGACCAGAACTCCTGGCGGAAAATAGTCAAGAGGGAAGAGTGATAGTGAATGGTCGACAGTGGAAGTCGAGAGCGGACAACGACCAAAAGAGGACCTGTGGACGGCCAGCTCACCCACCTCGGATAGCAGCACCCACGACAAGTCGACACCACATATCTCCACCAGTGACCCTCAGTGAAGCTAATCTATAAGTATACCTATCTAATAATTATATTTTAATGTTCTTATATTGTAAGATTTGATTTTAATAACAGTTACAAAATTATGTATATACTTGAGTACTTGCTTTACATAGGGTAACCCTGATCCCTAGCAATAATGTCACACACCGAGGTCGAGTTTCCGAGACCTCGTTAATATAAACAGAACTACACCGAGGGGTGCGACCCCCAGGTGAAGAGGAGACGTTACAATATAAAATCATTGTATACGAAAAACAATTCTGACCAAATATTACTATGTATATTTTATGATATTATTTTGATTAAGAGGGCTGCAACGTAGCATATTTTAAGGAGTACTATTTAGGCAATTCATGTGACACTGGCAGATAAATTAATACTGTATCTATGTGTGAGTAGTAAATGAATATTAGTGTGCGTAGTCCGTTTTTGTTTCCGAGAATCTCTGCACGTCGAGTCGGGTAACCTAGCCGGAAGCAACTCTCACACCCGCACGTATAATATGTCAATACATCGCGAAAAATGAAATATATTCTTGTTTGCATGACTATAAAACTACTAAAAGCGGTAGTAAATTAATCATACTTCCCGAAGTTCGATTGTAATTACGAAAGAATGGTCGAATTTATGAACTTCTAGACTATGCTTCTTGGGAATCACTTTTATTTAAAATCAGATGTGCCCAAAATAAATACAAATGTATTGAAATTATTTCATAGGATTTCTAAAAAAAATGGTTATTTTAAGGTCATTTTAAATTGAAAATTGAAAATCGACTTCGAAGCCTAGATATTTTATCAATGAATTAAATCATATTTAAAAATTTAAATCGGACATTCCGAAGTATGTGTAATTACTAATTTACCACCGCTTATGGGTCTAAAACGTATGGAAAATACGTGCGCTGCAGATCCCTTAAAGTAATTTATTTTACTATTAAGCATTAGTACTAGGTACAGTAGGTTGAATTTATTTTTATCGAAAAAAATGCAGTTGAAAAGTCTGTCACTGTGTGTATAAATATAAAATATAATTTAAAAATTTCAAGTACCCATGAATAATATTTTCAAATTACAACAAAATAACTATAATCGTTATTTTTTGTTTAAATAATAGATAATTTCGTCCAAATTTGAACTTAAAATGTCTAAAAAAATAAGCTGTGTTTATATATTTTTAGATTAATTTGGTTATAATATTAACTAGGTACTTATAATGAAGCTTGTTTTAGATTTTTAATCATTATATATAGGTATAAAAATTCAACATTTAATACATTTTTGACTACAAAATAATTTGCGAATTTTCAAGATTATGATGAATTTTCTCAAAATTTGAACTACAAAAGCTTATCAAAAAATCTTAACAATGTATCTTTAAGATTTAGAAATAGCTATAATAAAACTTGTGAGGAACCCTGAAATGAATTTTTAAAAAAAATTTTCTAAAAAATGTTTATCAATATTAATAGAAAATAAATTAAACAGATAGAAAACTGAAAATGTTTATAAATACCTCAACATATTTTTTAAATGTTATGGTATAGTCATAGACTTAAGTATAAAAAACGCACGCCAATATAAACATTCGGTTAAAATTTCATGTCTTTACGGTTATTGTTTTTAGAATTATACCCGATCCCCCCCCCCTAAAAAAGAAGGACCAACTAGATTCAATTTACTACCAGAAAAATTTGCTGAAGTAGAAAATCAAAGCATTTTCACTGTTCAAAAATGTAAAATCTATCCATCGGAGCGAATCTTTATTGTCAACTATTATATTTGGGAGACTAATTTTCAACAATGTGGTTAATAGCCAATAATGAATTATATCCGCACCTATAGTTGTGCATTTCATAGGTAGTATTCGTTGACAGCTGTTATCATGGCTGTACTTTGTACCAAGTAATTATGGGTCATAGTTATTATCGGTTTTGCGTGTTAATCGGGGCCGTCATGTTCCCGGATGTCGAATGTCCGTTGAGATGCGCGTAAAAACGGCGTAAATATTTAATATGATATATATTATAATTAACTAGTTCACGACCAACGCACTGGTAATAGTTTTATCGTGTTCGTTTTGCGAAAAACCCACGCAGACAGATTTTCCTACGTTCGGCGTATCGGATAATAATGAAATATATATATAATATAATAACTCTTAGAAAAAAAATGGATGTACTGACAAATCATCGAATGGGACATTGTATGGAATATCGCAACTTGAATGGTCGCCACTACCGCGTGACATTGCCCCCTCCCCCCACCGACGCGACCGTCGATACGAACAAATATAAATGATAATAATATGTATGCATATAATAGCATTATTATAATGTTATACAATTGATAGTCTTGTGATGCATATTATATTACACCCCGACAACGCAGTCATGGATCATTGTCGTTTCTTCCTTGCGTCCACGTAGACGTATTGTTGATTTCCTATAACAGACATCGACATTTAATATAATTATTGTATTTACCACTGTCATTAAACAAAAACTGGCATCGAGACGATCGCCACACCTGCAGTTAACCTCAAGCGATGACCGTCAACTCCGTACCGCTCCTACAGCGGCTGGCTGTCACCTACTTGTTGCTGACCACGGTTGCGAAGACGGTTGTCCAAGCGTCACCGTCAGAGGGTCCCGACAGCAGCAGTCACATTAAGTACACGTCCGATTTGTTAGATGACTCATCCGATGACTCGATGTAAGTATATTTTAAGGGTGTTATATTTTGTCGTTTTACAAAAAAAAAAATTGTTTTTTATTATTCATAATGGTTATATTCTCGTTTGGTTATATTATGTGGTTTGTTATAAGTGGATGTTTAACCAAATTTATGCAGTGGGTTGAATAATATTTTTTGTAGAAAAATACCCAAGTTAAATTTATGACCTAGGTATCTACTGAAAGTTTGTATTCTTGGACTTAGTCTATACCCGGTACTTACTATACCATTTAGAAGAGTCAAAGAAAACATATGAAGAACACAAATTATATTGACGATCAAAGATGTCAGATCAATTTAAAAAATATCTTGGATAGTTGGATATGCAGCAAAAGTTTTACTCGGTAGTCGATACAGCTATAGCTTAGAGACATCTATATTATACGTCATTATGGTGGTTACCTACTTACAACATAAATATAACAGAAATTAGTAATTAATAATCATAAATCCTCAACCCTCGCCATATATGTGTTAATAATACAATTGTGTTTAAACATTTTTATTTTTATTTTAAAATATTTTATATTTTTGGCTATAAATATTGAAATAGTTAATAATTTAAAATAATTTATAAATGGTATTAAAATATATTAGTGTACAAACAGGCATCGCCTTATTTCAAAACATTTTTTGATATTTTCAGTACCTAGGCTTAAAATAAATTACCCACCTATGCCCTATGTTGAACATGATTAAAACATAAACATTCTGGGTTATGATAAATGATAATAAAATTCGTATACATTACTAAGAGGTATTATGATATTTACCTACACATTTATAATATTTGGACGACAGGGCGTAAAGTCTATAGACTATTACAGATAGTTATAGATTCGTTGATGGCATATTGTATTGTTTACTCCGCACAACTCAACGATATTATGTTGGACAGAACTTGTACCTATAATATGTGTATGTCATTAGTCATTACAACTATAGTAACGGAGGGTTTTGGGATATTCTCTTGTATTATATTATTAATTAATAATTTGTCGACATATCGATAGAACGTACTTAACAATATAATAATGTTATAAATTATAATATCGTATACCATATACAGTATACACAATACATCTATGTACATATCATATTCATATATATAAATATGGGTCCACGGCTAAAACAATACCATAATTCCAGCGAATTTTCATTAAAATTTTAGTTCATGATTTTTGACAACATAATTCATTGTTGTATAAATTCATTCACTTTTAGACGACGAGTAATGAAAAAAAGTAATTTGTTGAGTAATGAAACTTAAACCAACTTATAACTGTTAATATGAAATGATCCATAGAAAATGGTTTTAAAGTACGTTTATGAATTTAGAAATCTTGTCTTATTATACTTTATTTTTGAATCTCATTGTAATTTATTACGTGCAAAATATATATTAATTATTAAAAACACATTTTATTTTATTTTTTTATTTATTTTATGTTAACTAGTTTGTTCGTCAACGATGATCCTAATGAATCTTCTCAATTTCAGTCTAGGTAAGTCTTTGGTTTTTTTTTTTTTGCAAATAGTTTTAGAAAACAGAATATTTTGTGTTTCAGATTCTCAAGTTATGGAACTAAATCATCAAAGACAACGAATCCCAAACCACAGGGTCAGTACATATAAATTAGCATATATATATCATCTAATTATAATCTATTATAAAGTTGAATAAATAAAATAATTATAATTATAAGTAAAGACCGGATTCCTGTGCAATTGCATCTTTTTATGGCGTGTTCTAAATTCAATAGAAACAAGCTACAAATCCAAATCAAGAGATGTAGATTAATTTAAAGAAAGTTTTATGTTGCACAAAATTGCACGTTTCGGTTTTTTTTTATAAAAATGTACTTTTGTACAAATATTTTGTATTTTGTATTATTTTTATCGGTGCTATATTATATTGTTATACAAAGTATTGGACTTTTATATCTAACAATATAATTATATATATATATATATATAACGATATAATACGAAGTAATTAAGATAAGGTACTACTATAGTCGATAGATTATCGATTACATATACAGTTTACACATATAGTACTACAGTCTATCCGCAGCCGTCGTAGTCAACTCGTGTTTTATACAATTTTGTAGTTAATTATTACTTGATATTATTTAATTTAAAATGCCGAAAATTAGTAGTAGTCATTGTTCTAAAATAAAGTGTTGGATCGAAAAATATCCAGAGTTGAAAACCGAAGGCAAAATTATATTTTGCACGTCGTGCAATAAGGCTATTGGTTGTGAACGTAAATCACAAGTTGATGCACACTGTAATTCAAGTACGTACCTACGGTAACACTAATTTTCTGCTGTAATCAATAATTATTAAAAATTGTTTTTATTGTTTTTGTTGTTATTATTATTTTAATCAAATATTGTAAAATCAGTTATTAGTTATTAGTTATTACTTATTAAAATTAAAATTTGAAGTACCTATAATGAAAATTTTGTTTTTGCACGTTTTTGCACATTTTAACATTTTAATTGCACATTTTTTAGATTTTAGCTGCACAAAAATCCGGTCTTTAATTATAAGTTATAATAAAGTGTCGTGTGGTAGTAATGAATGTGAAATAAAATTAATAGAAACTACGTATTTTTATTATGTAGGTACGTGACCAATTTTATTGTTCTGTAGAAATATATTATTTCAAAAGTGTTGTAATAAAGTGTAGTAATTTGTGTACAGACATTGTTATAAAAAAATGTTTGTTTAGATGATACTTAAGACAAGTCATTTATCGATTCACATAAAAACATCCACTTTTTCTAAGAAAAAAAAAGATAAACAAATTGGAAAACAAATAATGAAATATTATTACGGTCAATTAAATAAAATGTAGTTTAATTATTCCAATTTCAAAAATGTTAATCTTATAAGAGATTGATATTTTCCATGGTTAACCTTTAGTATACCTCCATAGTATAGCTTTAAAATGTTCCCAAAAATGTTGTCTTATTTCGTTTATGCAGAACTTCCTATTAACGAAAAACAATTTTAAACACTACCTATAGGGAGCTTTAGCTTATCTCAAGACTTATTATTGTTTTGAAATGTAACAATATTACGCATCACTATACCAACGTCGTACTGCTGTGAATGCTTTCTTATTGTTTTGTTATTATTTTTAACATGTTTAGTAGCACGGCGTAATATATAGGCAATATAGGTACATCACCCAGTCGAGGAGACATGTTTTAATCTAATCAAACACTGAAACTGTTTTTATTTCGTATGAATTTTATTATAATAGATAATATACGACAAGATTTAATTATAAATGTTATCGCTATACATTTAAAATTTTAATATAATGTAATATTGTAATAGTTCCATACGTTAAGATGTGTCTCGAGGACAAGTATACTAGTTTAAGTAGTAGTAATTAGTTCCCAAAAGCAAAACAATGATCGTAGGTTTTAGATGGTTTAATAAAATGTGAATGTGTAGTCATAAACATTTCCAAGTTCATAAATAAGTAGCCACCTACGTGGAACGCGAATCTTAATAGTGTGTTTATTTTATTTTTCCATTACGAAACGAGAGAGATAACACGTTATTTAAATATTTAAGCAATACCTATTATAATTGTGTACGCGTTTTTGCTTAGTCTGATTATGTATACACATTAATCATGTCGTTTTAAAAATATTAAATACAGTGTGTGATTCAGCTAAGAGTTTTGAAATTTAATAGAACCCAGCGACTTTTGGTTTAAATTCTCAGTGTTTATTTTAAACCTTTAAAATTTGATAAAAAAAAATAAAAACTATAATATACAAACGGCCATTTGTGAGATGGTACCCAGTTAAAAATCTTTCTATTTATCTTTTATCGTGTAACCGTGATTTTTGATTTTGGATTAAAACAACAGTTTTAAACCGTAGAGTAGGTATAATAAATAATAATAATTAATATTAATAACTATACTACAACTAGTTAGTACATATCTAAAAATTAAATTGTAAATTGTTGTTCCTAACTATTGTTGCATACAATGATTGTGAAAATAATATAATATACCTACATTAATATTACGCTTAATATAATATTATGTTACTTTTGCAACGGCATCACTTTTTGTTTCAGTTGAAACTCAATCAAACATTTCAATTTTAATGTGCTTTGATAAACAAACGGGTTTTATGTGTAGTATCATACACTTATATTATATTTTATTTGATTGTTTTATACAATTTTTATTATTTATATTACGTAATTTGATTGATTGTGTCCCATTTTTGTAATACCATAGGGTCTATCGACTTTACTACTGAGTACAATTTTTGATTTATATCACAAAATATAACTTTGGAGTACCTAATTATTATTTTTCTATCTGAATTGTAGAGAATCTGGAAGCATGCATTGCAACCTTTAAATCGCCTGAAAACTCTATTTCCGTATGCTCTACAATAACTAAGTAAGGCTTATATACTACTATAATAGCATAGCCATACCAACTAATTGTAATAAATTTAATTAGAAATTGTCAGGCTACTTGTATAGAAGGTTACAAATTTCCGAAAGGAGTTCCAAAAATTACGTTTGTGTGTGATGGTCAGAGATACAAAGTCAAAGGATCAATTTCTTATGCCATACCAATATGTCTTCGTAAGTAAATTATTAGTTTTAATATTATCGTTTATAAGGCAACAATAATAAATGTACCGTATATTTGTTTAGCTGTTTGTAATCCATATTGCGAAAATGGAGGTACATGTGAAAAACCCAACAAGTGCAGTTGTCCAAAAAATTATGATGGGCCGTCGTGTCAAAATTTAATCCTTCCCAAGTACTGCAATGGTTTTCCTAATACACCGATGAACTCAAAAAAGAAATGCAATTCAGAGTAAGGAAAACATTTAAGATAATTTAACTGCTATTATAGTAAGAAACTAATTTAAAAAAAATGTTATGTCATTGTAGAGCGTGTACGATCAGCTGTGTTGATGGATACCAGTTCCCGGATTCATCTAGTGTAGCAAACGTATTTTGTAGAAATGGATCTTGGACACCCGGGAAAGTAGAATGGTCCACAGTTCCAGACTGTATGCCAGTGTGTGATCCACCTTGTTTAAACGGTGGTAATTGTATTGGATACCAGAAGTGTCAATGTCCGACTGACTTTAGAGGCCCTACGTGTCAATACTGTAAGTTTTTTCCCTTATTGTATGACAATTCTAGTAAATATAATAAAACAAAATCAATCAATAGATACAGTTTTTGTGACATAATTTTATTTATAAACTATTCATTCATATTTCACACCTAGATACTTTTTTTAAAAACAAAAGTTCTACATTTAAAAGAAAAAACATTTTATGTGAGTAAGATAGTTTACATATTATCTTAGTTACATAATATTATATATAATATTTATAAAATAATTATCATATGGTTCATCACGTTTGAGTATGGAGGCTCTTTCCAAATGGCTCTTCAATACTCCGAAAAGTAAAATAACTGCTCTGGTACTCACGGAAGACATTTGTAAAAATAATGTGTTAACTAAGTAGGACAATATATTGTCATTGTTTTGCATATGGTTAACGGTATTATTTAAAAATCAACAGAATAAACATTCACCGTTCAGTGTTCAATATATTTTTATATGTACTTATTTATAGCGGAAAGTTCATGTGACGTAACAAAATTAAATTTCAATGGAAATTATAAATGTTCCGACGATATGGAGAAAAACGTATGCACACTCTCGTGCCCTCAAGGATCTGTTCTAGAACCATTTAAAACCACCGACGTCGAATATACTTGTCTGTATAAAACTGGGGAATATGAACCAAAACATATACCTCAGTGTATATTTGGTGAGTACGTCAAACACTATAGAAACTGGAGTGTTATCGTTAGGTATTTTATTTCGGATAATATGTAATGTTCATTTTTGTGTGTATGTGTGATTTTTTAATACAGATGAGCAACCTTCTGAATTAATAAATTCTTTTAACTCAGTAGTTGAAGTTTTTAATACGTATAAAAGCCGACCAGGGAGTTGCAGTCGTTGGGGTTTGGGAAACTATAAGACGTTTGATGGAAAGATATATAGTTTCCAAAGTGACTGCACCTATACACTAATTAGCGATATTAAAACCAATTTATTTCATATTCAAGCACGTTTTGATCACGGAGTGATTAGTTATATCAATGTTTATATTGTTGATAATCTGTACCAAATAAAAAGAAATGGTAAGATAGTAAATTTGATATTGGTATCTATAAACAATTCATATTTATTTTAGCTGATGATAATGTCGTGTCGTTGATTAATAATGGAAAACTACTCTCCATACCAAATGAGCTGGCAGATTTAAGTTTTGAAATTATAAGTGGTCAAACAGTTTTTATTAATTTACGTACCACCAATTTGAAAATTATCTGGAAATCTAATGTAAGCTTAATGAATACAATAATTGTGTAAAAATATAATTTAACTCGTTTTTATTTATTTTAGGGTGCCTTAATCATAGACGCTGGTGTTGAATTATGGAACTCGACTGATGGCCTCTGTGGAAAAATGGACGGTGTATCGGCAAACGACTTGTCATATAATAGTGTGACGAGTTTTGCGAACAAGTGGCTAGTGAATGGCCTGAACGATATATGTGAATCACCTATTACAGAAACTTTAAAAGTTTCCAATGAAATTATGCAAAAAGCTACAGAGTTTTGTTCCACTGTTAAAAATGATCGGTTCAAAGTTTGCGGTAGTCAAAATCTTAATGTTGAAGCATATATCGAAGCGTGTAAAATGGATTACACTCAATGTCATTTGGTAAATGGTTCCGATTGTGGATGTAGCAGTATCGCCGTCTTCGCGGAGGAATGTTTAGGAAAAGACCCGACGATTTCGTGGAGAGATGATAAAATATGCCGTTAGTCATTACTGTTTGTCGAAATACTATTACGTTTTAGCTATTATTTATTAACATTACGATATTGTTTATAATGTTTTTAGCTTATCAATGCTCTAGTGGAAAAGTATATTCACAGTGTTTGCCAGTCGTACAAGAAACATGCACTATCGCAGCTGAAGTAAAATCCAAAAATATTAACTCGTACTGTGAAGAAGGATGCATTTGTCCATTTGGGACTGTTTTAAACGATGGCGTATGCGTAGTCAAAGAAAAGTGTCCCTGTAAGTTAAGAAATAAATTATACCTACCCGGGGAAGAAATCACTAAAGATTGCAATAAATGGTGAGTTGATACGTTTAGTTTCCATTATCAAATTATTTAACTAAATACATTTTTAAGCACTTGTATTGGCGGAGAGTGGAGTTGCACCAGTGCCAAATGCAGGGCAGAATGTTATGCAATCGGAGATCCACATTACAAAACATTTGACGGCCTGAAATTCAATTTCATGGGATCCTGTTCATATTATCTCGTTGTCTTACCTGAATTTTCGATCGAAGCAGAAAATATCCCATGCGACGGTACAATGTCGATAGAACATGGTTTTGAAGTACCAAATTTATCGGCAAAAGCCACTTGCACTAAAACACTTACGATACGAATAGGAAATAGCACAACTATTAAATTGGGCCAGGGAAAAATAGTATTCGTTAATGGAGAGATTGTAGAAAAATTACCGATAACTGTACAAGGTGTAGCTTACATCAGAGAACAGTCAACATTTTTCCTTCAAATTGTTATAACAAATGGCGTTGAAGTATGGTGGGATGGAGATACTCGTGCATATATTTATGCTACGCCAGAACTCGAAGGAAAAACCAAGGTATGTTGATTATGTACTGTATAAAAATAATCGAATCTATTAAGTATCACCATTGCATTACCATAACAATGCATTATTTTTATATCATGGCATATTAAATTATAACTGTATTCATTAAAACAATTATTCTATCATATAACTGACTATTGATTAATGTAGGTATTTACATAATAACTAATTAGGGATTTTTTTTTTCAATCTCAGGGCTTATGCGGTACATATAATGGTAACCAGAAAGATGATATGTTTACTCCCGAAGGGGACGTCGAGACAAACGTCGTTTCTTTTGCAAATAAGTGGAAGACGAAAGAGAGTTGTGCAAATAACAAATTAGAAACTGTAATAAAAACTGCTCATCCTTGCGATGAAAATATACAATATAAACATTTGGCTGAAAGCTATTGTAGCAATATCACGGGAAAGTTATTCTCAGATTGTCACACTCAAGTAGACCCAATTCCTTATTACGATGATTGTCTTTACGATGTTTGTTCTTGTCATCCTGGTCAATTTTCACGTTGCTATTGTCAAATATTAGCTTCATATGCTCTCGAATGTTCTCATCAAAATACGATCATAGATTGGAGAAGAGGTGTTAGAGAATGTGGTATGTATAATATATACACTACTTTATATTTTATGTCCATCACACATTATACAGAGTACAGACTGCCATGATTTATTGATCGCGAAGAAAATCATTCGAGGGGAAGATTAATCGTTAATATATTTAATGAAATAATTTAAAGTCTAATAATAAATTGGTCGCTACATATATTTTTAAGATCAAAATAGTTTAAATTACAAAAGTATACAATTTTTCTGTACATGTATATTAATGATAAAACTGAAAACTGAAAACTATTCAATTAGCCTTTTTTATTTTTAATATCATTACGTTGAGCAATTATTAATATTATATACAAATTATTTATGCATTTATATTATGGGGCTTAATAAATAAAATATGTTACCGATAATATGAATATTACAGACGGTTTATTCATAATGCTAAAAAAAACGAAACACTTAGGTTTATATAATTATTACATCGACTACCTAAGTATTAAAAATAATGTCAAAAGCAAATTATACAATGTAATAAATATCTATAGGGTTCGAACTTTATTGCATTTGAAACATTTTTAGCACTGAGTATTATTGCTAGGTACCACCTATGTATGCTATAAATGTATTTCATCAAAAGTACTATGTAAATTAAACATTTTAGTGCAACATTTTTGCTATATTCGAGTTATTTTTATCTTATAATCAAATTTTTAAGTATTTTTTTTAAATTAAAATTTCATTTTTGAAACTTTTTTTATAATATGTTAATGAATAACGAATAAAATCCATTTTACTTACCAATCAATAATACTTCTAACGATTTGAACATTGGAGAACCAATCAAAACTCGATACATTTTGCATAGTTGGTAATCATGTGGTCATTGATAAATGTAATTAATTTGATTGCAAATTATGAACTATGGAGGTAAATTGTTCACGATCACTTCACACCTCCCAAAATACCCCAAAATAAGTAGTTTTTAATCATAATAATAGTTTATTTTTAATTTCCAGGCGTACAGTGTCCAGCAGGTCAAAATTATGACACTTGTGGAAATTCTTGCCAGCGGACGTGTCAAGATATTTCTACTATTAATAATTGCAAGTCCAACTGCGTTGAAGGCTGTTACTGTCCTAAGGGGTTAACATTATCAGAGTTTGGTGAATGTATACCCGTCGCAGAATGTCCGTGTTATTACAATGGGCAAAAATTTAAACCTAACCAAAAAAGAATCGAAACTTCTGGAAAGGGTCCACAGTTTTGTACTTGCATAAGTGCAGCATGGGAATGCCGTTCCGCTGAAACAAATGAATTAGCACAATGGAAAGATACATCGGAAAGTTCATGCAGTCGACGAAAACATTTAACATTTACTGAATGCGAACCTTCAGAACCAATAACTTGCCGTGTAAGATTGTACATTTTGACATTGATTGCATTATAATAAGCCACTTTTCTAAGGTCTTTTTATTAAATGAATCCTCAAAGTAAATTTAGTTAAACGGTATAGATTATTTTAAATGAAACATTTCTATTATGCAAAACTTGTTTATTGAACTTATACGAATAGCCAATAGGTACTATACTTAATTTAATATTAAATAAGTTAACGTTGGGTAAATGTTGACTAATTGAAAGTTGTTTGACAAATCAATTAAAAAAACAAAAAAAAAAACAACTTAACTAATTAAATAACTAATTTATATTTGCTGTTACAGAATATGCATGACCCCCCACAATCAACACCAGCCATATGTTATTCAGGATGCGTTTGTAAAAAACCATATGTTCTCGATTCATTCACAAAAGAATGTGTATTACCAAATGAGTGCCCATGTCATCATGGAGGTAAAAGTTATAATAACAATGAGACATTTTACCAAGGTTGCAATACATGGTACGTTCATTGTCTAATTAAAAGATAAATTTGGAATTTATTTTTGACGTTAAATATAATTTGGCAGCGAATGCAATTTGGGAAAATGGGAGTGTAAGAATAATGAATGTCCTGGAATTTGTTCAGTATGGGGAGATTCACATTTTCAAACATTTGATTCTCGGTTTTTTGACTTTCAAGGCGCATGCGAGTATATTTTATCCAAAGGAACATTAACTAGTTATGAATCTTTTGTGACTTCCATAGAGGTGAGTAGTATTTATTTTTTTTTTAGTAGTTATTATATTGTCATATGACAGATTTGATTTCACTATCCAATCTCTTCAGTAGCTTCAACCGCTATAATATATATAATAACTGACATGTTCAAGGGACATACAATTTAAAAACTGCAAAATAAAATAAAAAATATGAAAAAATGACTTGTTTTTTAGGAACTATATAGCTGTACGACTCAGCTTTTATAATATAACGTTTTATTACATTAATTTTAAATAATAACATTTTGATAACACGGAAAATTATATTTAACTAAAATACTGTCTTAGGTACCTATATTTTTGGCTATCTCACGAGTACTCTTATAACGACTAAAATCTTGGACGATGCATGTGTCCACAAAAAATGTAGGTACAGTTCCTTTTTCCACCAAAACATAAAGTTTTAATACTACTTAAACTAATACTACTTTCCACAAAATACATATGATATAGATTGATTCATGTTTGCAACATAAAAATGTCGATAACATTAAAAATTTGTAAAATTAAATATAATTATTTAAACAAATAATTATATATATTATAAATATTTTTTCATTTTATAATAATGTTGTTTTTAGACTTGAAGAGCACTTTTTCGGAAATAAAGAAAACTTTTAAAATCTATTATACAGACATTTTATTTAAAATTCAATAAAATATTTAAAATAACATAATATTATGCATTTTAATAAATACAAATACATACATTAAATTAAAATACATTTTTATATCGTTAGAATAATTAAACAATAATAAAACAATAACAAGAACTCTTTACCGGTATCGAAGTCGCAAGTTAATCAGATACAGCATAATATTCAAAGTCAAATTTATAATATATTTATATTTTTGTCCACAAATATAAGCTCTACGGGAATAATGATCTTGTTTCACAGAATCAACCAAATTTGATAATTTTTTTTTTACTAATAGGTAAAGTGTAATATTCTACAGACTGCATTGAACTCCGTTTTTCAATATTTTAACTTCAAACTTTATAATGTGGCTTCAAAAATAATACAGTTTTAAGCTTTTTTTTTTTGAAAATTATACTATACTATTATTTAAAATAAAATAAAAAATTAGTATTGAATGCGGCCTGTAGGAAGTCTTCTTATTTTAAATAAAAAAATAGCTATCAAAATTCGATAATTCTACAAGACCTGATAATTATTTCTGTGAAGTCATTGTTGTCGATATAATACACCTATCACCCCCCTCCCCTATATAGGTATCGGGCAGTAGATAAGTGGAAAAGTATTACAATTAAGGGGCCGCTTAAATCTAAAATATGATTTTTAAATATTACAGAATTGCAGAACATTTTAAAAACCGAAACCGGGCCCCATAATATAAAGTTACCTAAAAATCTTTTAAAAAATATAACATAATTTCAACTTCAATATTTTTCTTAATTTGTTTGAAGTATTTCTTTTAATCTAAATTAAACATTATTGTTATATAAAAAAAAAAAAAAAAATTATGATACATATTATATTATTTATGGTATAGACCAGTGGTTCCCAATTATCACGGGCCCAATTTTTTGTATATTTACTTTGTATACACAGTTCACACCTTAGATCATATACCGATCATATACGATTGTATATGATCTAAGGTTCACACCCACCTCCCGGGGTACCACATCATATACGAGTGCTCGTGGTTTAGGCGTTTACCAATTAGATTAACCACTTGCTATACTGGAAAAGGGAATGGTACACATTTGATGGTAAGTGGTAACAGTTACTTATACAAGTGTTGGGTAGTAACGTAACGACAGTGACGAGTTACGGTTGCAACGTTAGTCGTTACTTTATTTATAACGCGTTACGTAATTTAGTTAGAATATTGTTTTTATATAAAGAAAAAACGGAATGGTCATTTTTTTGATAAGTAATCCATATAATATACGCGTTACCGTTTCAAGTTGTTTCGAGTAGGTATTGTGAATTAAAAAAAAAAAATAATATTAATACTGTTTATGTTAATTCTGGTATTGGGTATACAAATGAAATAATAAATAATATAAATATAATAAATTCAATTTTGAATCGTCACAATTCAGTTTCCAATGGTTTAAACCACGCTTAAATTATTACGATAAAACTTAATTCAATTAATTATATTTTTTGTGAATTTTTCTCGAAATATATAAATATAAATAATATATATAATGTTTCCTATAAATAAAAGGTCGGGTGGAATGGTGTTATTTGGTTTGTGTACATATATTTATAGTTGTTAACTGTTTATTATAAACAATTTTTTTTTATTTTACCTATGTAGTATTTACTAACGTTGATTGTTGAATGACGATTATTTAAAGAGTTTAAGAAATTAAAGAAATGCATTTGAATTTTTTTTTTTTGTAGCGTGGAGGTAACGTAGTTACTTTTTAAATATAAAAGTAAAGTAATTTTATTTCAATTTGATTAGACTTACGAATAAAGTAACTTACTTAATTATTTTAATATCTAAGCAACGAGTAAAGTAACTTACCACATACAGTGGTTATGCCCGAAATCTTAGACCTCTGATATCCAAGATATACAAAAGTATTTTATTATATTTTAAAAGTTATAAAAATATATTTGATATAATGACGTTACCTATATTAAAATGTATTATTACTATTAAACTTATTTTATTTTCTTAAATGTTTTAAATACTATCCATGAATAAGGACGACATAAGAAGTCAAAATGGGGAAATAGAAATTTAAAAAACCCAAATACCAATCTCGTACATTTTTTTTAGTAGTTTGTAATAGAATATACTTTTAGGTCGTACCTTGTGGTTCAACGGGAGCAACATGTATAAAATCCATAACGTTGACGGTTGGAAGTGGCGATGAAGTAGAATTTATACAATTGAAAAATCAACATACTCCTTCTAATACCAAAAGGTTACTTTTAAAAAACAATAATAACAAATAAGAATATTTTATAGGATCCTTAAAATATATTTAATATTTTAGAATATTTGTCAAAGAAGTTGGTCATTTTGTGGTGGTCGAAGTTCCTGATTTAGGAATACAAATATATTGGGATAAAGGTACCAAAATGAATTTACAAGTTGATCAAAAATGGAAAACTCACGTAAGATAAACACAATAAAAACATTAAAACATTTAATAATGTCAATTATTATAATAGACATATTTTTTTTTTAGATTAAAGGGTTATGTGGAAACTATAATGACAATCAAATGGATGATTTCCAAACACCTTATGGGGGTATACCTGAAGTATCAGCATTATTGTTTGGGGATTCTTGGAAGCTACAGCCTCATTGTACTCAACCGTCTGAAATACGAGTAAGTGTTTTACATTAAAATGTTTAAATTGCAACGTTACAAACTTTTACATAAGATAATAAATATGCATAATTTCAGACTATAACAATCATTTTATGGTTTTATTTTATAGACTATAATATTATTATTTAGTTGTACTATACTTAAATAATAAACTATAATACTTGTTTAACTTTTTAGGATGCTTGTGCACTACACCCACATCGTAGGCAATGGGCAATTCGTCAATGTAGTGTTCTTAAATCTTCTGTATTCAAACCTTGTCACTCACAAGTTTCTATAGACAACTACATAGAAAGGTGTATTTTTGACACTTGTGCTTGTGACCAGGGAGGTGATTGTGAGTGTTTGTGTACAGCAATCGCAGCATACGCTCAAGAATGTAGTATTCGTGGGGTTTACATAAAATGGAGATCTCAAGACCTTTGCCGTAAATATAATAATATGATTGATAATAATTAATAAGGTTTTATTTTCTTGATATATATACTAAATTACAATATTTTATATAGCTATGCAATGTGAAAATGGTACATCTTATGACTCTTGCATACCGCGTTGTTCTCGAAAATCGTGTGACGACTATGCTTCCCAAACTTCAGAATTATGTGATGACAAATTTTGCATTGAAGGTAAATATTTTGATTAGTATATTGATAACCTAATAAGTGCTTTATAAAATTGCTTATATAATTTGTTTATTTTATACTTAAACAATTTCAATATTTAGGTTGTGCTAAAGCTCATTGTCCTTTTGGTCAAGTTTATCTTAATTCTACATCTGATATTTGTGTTTCCAAAAACAAATGCAAAATACCTTGTAAAATTGAAGGCTCTGACCGTTTATTTAATGATGGTGACATTGTTTTTGAAGATAAATGTCACTCTTGGTATGTTAAAAATCATATATTTCTGTTGATGGCGATTAAATTATTATTTGATTTCATTTTAGCTTTTGTTCGAGAAATAAGAAAATATGTAAAGGCCAACCTTGTTCTACTCCAGCCACAATAACCACACCAACTTCTACATTCCCAGATATAACTACCACTACAACCAGTAAACCAATATCAGACCAAAAAATTAATAAAACTATTGAACAATCATGTTCTGATGGTTGGAGCGCTTGGATAAAAGTGGATCAATTAAAAAGCAAAAGTTTAACTAAATTTGAATACATGCCAACGTTTGATGATCTAAAGTCTATAGAATATAATGGAATAGAGGGCTTGAAAAACACTGTAAGAACTTAATAATAATTATTTAACATAAGAGTATGCTAAATGGACTAGTTTTAAAAAAAATTAAAATTTTATATTTAGACATTGGGAATCTGTGTGTATGATAAAATGGATAATATCCAATGTAGACCAACGAAGGCTATAAAAGGTCTTAAAAATATAATAGAAAATGTTGATTGTGGCTTAAAGAAAGGACTTGTGTGTGATGGTAAATGTAGTGACTATGAGATTCGTATACATTGTAAATGCCATAAAGAATCGAGTAAATATAAATGTTATGATTTGAGTAAAAAATAAATTATAATAATTTAATAATTTAATATTTATAGACACTGAAGAAGAAAACCTTGGTCTTCTTGTAGATGAAGATCGAACAATTAATAAAACACGAATAGGTAAGAGCGTTAAAAGTTTATTTAAAATTGCATTACTATTAATATATATTATGATATTATTTTATTTTGAACTTTTCTGAAATTTTGATCAATGTTAATTTTAAATATTATCATCGGCTTATCGCTCTTTTAGTTTGTGTGGATGGATTTAGATGGCAAGGTTGCAAGGTAATGTGTAATCAAGTATGCCACTCATTTGAAAATCAACTCAAACACCAAAATATGTGTATATATCCACAAAAATGTATTGGAGGTTGTGTCAAAGAAAATAAACAGTCCATAGTATGCCCCACTGGGTCAATGTGGAGGGACAACAACACGTGCGTGTCTAAGGATGACTGCACTTGTTTTTCTAGAAATGGTACTCAAGTGAAGGTTAGATAATCTTTTATTTAAAAATAAAATAAAATTTAAACATGTATGATAAAATTGTTATTTATGGTAAACTTTATTTTAAGCCCGGTGGCGTTTTTAAAGAAGATTGGTGCACTGTATGTCAATGTATAAACAACGCTTATATCTGTGATGATTCTTCTTGTCATTATAAATTAACTACAGAACCTATTGAACTCACAACTCAAAAATCTGATCAAACTACTTCACTTGAAGAATTTACTACATCGTATAGAGAAATAATTAATAATATTTCTTCTTCGGTTTCACACAAGTATACTTCCGAAAAGCCAATATCTACAACAGAAACAAAGATAATGACAACAGAGTATATAAGCACAGCCAAATGGCCTGAAACTAGTACTTCTAGTCCTTATTTGATTGTATCCACTACATTACCGACAGAAGAATTATCTACTGTAAAAAATATCAAAACAACAATTGGAGAAATTATTTTTATACCATCTACAGTGACTCCGCCAATAGTTATCTGTGATGCACACAAGTAAATATATATTTTATTATTTAGATTGTACTGTTGTAATACTACACCATAACAAAATAATTTAAATATGCCATTATTCGATTTTGTAGAATCAAACCAATAACTTCTACCTTAGAACCATTGTCATTTGATGCTAGTTCATGGTTTGATGAAACTACTGCACCTCAGTACGCCCAGTTATATTCGGTGGAAAATGGTTACTGGAAACCATCTAAGACTAGCGAAAACGAATATTTACAAATTTATTTAGGGTACCCGGAAACGGTTTATGGGGTAGAGGTGTCTGGTAATCCTTTAACCGATGAATACGTAACAAGTTACAAAGTAGCATATAGCTTGGATGGAATAAGTTATAGTTATGTTTTATATCATGGACAACCTGAAGTAATTGTTAAATTTTATCTATACAATATTAATCAAATATATTATAAACATCGTATAAATTATTCATAATTTAGGCTTTCCGAGGTCCTTATTCGCATAATGTAATAGAAAAACAAATATTTTTTACTCCCGTTGAAGCAAAGTACGTCCGACTTATACCTATGACCTGGCGAAATAATATTGCTATGCGAGTATCTTTATTAGGATGTCCAGTTACATCTACTACTCTTGGTTATGAAACTCAATCAACTATAAAACCATCTAACAAATGTAATTACATTTAAAATTTATTTAATAGATCAGTTATCACATACCAATACGTTTAGTTGATTTATTAATAATTTATTTTTAAAGCCATTTGTTCCGATCCAATGGGAATCGAATCTGGCTTGTTAAACAACATGATATCGGTATCTTCGTCCACATTTGAAAATTTCAATGCTATCAATGTGTCACTCAATAGTGAATCAGCATGGGTACCATTTACAGCTTCAACCAATCAGTGGATTCAAGTAATTTGATTTACATTTAGATCACCAATTAAATAAGTATTACATCATTTTAACTATATAATTATATAGGTAGATTTTACGGAGCCTAGAATTATAACTGGTATTGTAACTAAAGGTATTTCTTCAACAAGCAAAACAGGTGAAGCATGGATTGAAGCATACAAAATAGTGTATAGCAATGATTTAATAAACTGGAATAAAATATTGGATTCTAACAAAGACGAACAGGTTTTAATGAAAATAAGTGCTAATTTTATTTAACACTGTGCTGAGATTTTTATTTTTTTCAGATTTATTCAGCTAACTTTGACGGGAAAAGTCCAAATACTGTATTTTTCAAAACACCAATCAGAACGCGTTATATCAGACTTCATCCAGAAAAATGGTACAATATGCCGGCATTGAGATTAGAAATTCTTGGATGCTTTGAAGCATACGCAACTGAAGAAACAATTATTCAGACAACAATAAAACCCACTATTCATCTCACAAACTGCAATATTTGTCCTGGTATAACAAATAATGACTGTAACTGCTCATCGGACACGTGGTGGAATGGCGAGAACTGTGGACTACGTTCCGAATGTCCATGTGTTCTAGGAATTATGACATACCAAGTCGGTACAGTTTACGATTTAGAAAACTGTCAACAGTGTACATGCACGCTTGGTGGATTGCCTGACTGTGCACCAAAAGTGTGCGGCTCTTGTCCTCCCGTAAGTCATTATAAGTCTTTGAATGTAGTAACTTGTAACGCGTACCTTTATATATTGTGTGTTTAGGGAGAGGTTTCCAATACTGCAGTATCAAGTTGTAAATGCGAATGTATGCCATGTAAAAATGGCACAAAGTTATGTCCGACATCTAATGTATGTCTTGAAGAATCACTTTGGTGCAATGGGATTCAAGATTGCCCGGATGATGAAATTAACTGTTTAACAACTACTACGACAACAACAACTACCACTCCAGTTACAAAAACCAAAACAAAATCAACACCAACACCAACAACACCAACAACACCAACAACAACAACAACAACAACAACAACAACTATGGCTCCAACAGTTACAGAGGAAATAAAAACAACCATTCCAATAATTGTGCCACCAAAAAAAAGAGGTCCAGGTCCATGTCCCGAAATTAAATGTCCTGAAGGACAAATAGCAAAAATTTTAAATTCATTACCAGTGAAAACCAATTCAATTAAATTTGCTCGAAAGACAAGAAGTCCGGAAATTATTGAGGATGATCCGTGGCCATCGCCTTTTAATCCTATGACTAATTTAGCAGCCTCAGTGAAAAGAAATCATCAAGACCCACTTTTTAGTACTAAAGGAACAACAATTCGGCGTAAAGGAGGTATCAATTTTGGTGTTAAAAGTGGAGGTGTGAAAAACGATAATCAACAGCCAATATGTAAACAATGGATTTGTGAAGCACAAGTAGAACAATTTAAGTGTAATACACCATCGATTACATGCCAAGAAGGATATTTCTTACAAATCACTCCAAATGATAACGACATTTGTCCAGTTTATACATGTGTATCGAATACATTGGACGAAAGTGAATGTGAAATCGATGGCAGAGTATTTAAAACCTTCGATGGAGTTACGTACAAATATGAAGTTTGTGATCATATTATTGTCAGAGATCGAGTACATAAAAAGTTTATGATAAAACGTAAATATAAATATTAGAACAACGTCTATACTATGTATTCTTTATATTTTATATTTTACTAATTTGAATTATATTTCAGAAATCCGCCGTTGTCCATATATTGGTGCTTGTCAAGTATCTTTATGGATAGACCATTTGAATCATACTATTGAATTTTTTCCAAATATGACAACAACATATGATGGATATTCTTATACTGTTAATCAGGTAAACTCCAATAACAAATGTAAATAAAATTATATAATGCAAATATATGCTAAAATATTATTCATATATTTTCAGCTTCAAGTTATAGGAAGTCAAGCTACGCAATTTGCCGTGAAACAAGTTCAAACTGATTATATTATATTTGCCAGTACATTAGGTTTTAATATTATTTGGCAAGTTAATGGACAAGTGAAAATAAAGGTATCAAGAAATTAGATAGTACCTAGTTTATTAATGACTTAATATGAAAATTACCAGATATTTTCTTAAATTTTTCATATTACAGAGTTATAGAAAAACAAAAAACATTTGTATATACTTGAAAATACCCAACTTATAAATTAAGAATACTATTTTTTTTGGTACATTAGATTTACACTTTTAAAGTTATCAAGATTCAAATATATTTTATATATTACACTTATTTTTTCATTTTATATTTTTCAACATCAATATATTACTAATTATTTTGTTATTTGGATTATTGTTATTGAATGTTTTCTATAGGCAAATGCATATTATACTGGAAGAGTTGATGGTCTTTGTGGATTTTTCGATAACAACCCTACAAATGATAAGCTTAAGCGTGATGGACTTATTGCTACAACTACTCCAGAATTCGGAAACTCTTGGGCTGATTCTAATGTACAATGTGAAGCCAAAATATGTCCACTACATATACAAAAAGAGGCTCTTGAAGCTTGTAATGTTTTTAGGTAAATAACAATATTTAACAATTTTATTATGTTTATATTAATATGAAAGATATGTGTCAACTATTTTTATTTTGGCCTGTCCCTAGTTTATTTATAATATAAATCCATTAAATATGTAGTCAAATATAGAAAAAAATATATAAAAATTAAATTTATTTATTCTAGGTCGGAACCATTGAATCAATGTGGTGGGCATGAGAATATCGAAGAGTTTGTAATGAAATGTGTGGAAAGCATTTGCTCATGTTCTGAAAACTCAGTAAATGACTTTTCTGAATGTAGATGTAAAGCTATTTCAGGATTAGTTACTCAATGTTATATATCAAATTCATCAGTTGAACTTTCTGATTGGCGTATACTACACGATTGCCGTAATTATAAGTAAATGATTTTAAAAACATTTTACTCAACTTTTTATATTTTTGTTTAGCTGTTAATTGTCCCACGCCTTTGGTGTACAAAGAATGTTTTAACAAAGTATGTGAGCCTACTTGTGATTCATTACTTCAAAGTGATCCATGTCCAAAATTACCTGGCTTTTGTTTCCCGGGATGTTATTGTCCAGAAGGATTTATTAAAGAATTAGGGTCTTGTATAAAACCATCAAAATGCAGAAACTGTAAATATAGAAATATTGAAATTTAGTACAATTTGATAAATTTAATATTATTTGCTATTTTAAATATATTTAAGGTGTATGCGAAGGATCGGGTACCAATCATTATACAACATTTGATAAGGTTGACTTTACTCACAAGCAAAATTGTTCTCATGTTTTAGTAAAAACTACAAAAGAAAATAATTCATTAAAACCTGGTTTCACTGTATGTTTTTTTAATAAATTTTGATGTATTATTCATACAAACTTTAAATATATATATTTAAACTATATTTTAGATTGTAGAGACTACTGGGAAATGCTCTAATCCTCTGTTTTCAAATGGAGTCTGTGTTCAAAATCTAACTATCATCCATGCAGCTCACGAATTGCACTTATACTATAATGAAGACGCTTCTAAAGTATTATTGGAATTTAAAACGTAATTGTCAATAATTATATTAAATGTTTTTGACGTGTATAGATATTAGCAATTGTTGATGGGAATGAAGCCAGTAAAATACCATTTACAAATAAATGGTTATCGATAACAGAATCTCCTGGAAAATCTGTAACTGCTAGTATTCCAATTCTTGAAATAGAAGTTATATTTATGACTATGAATCAAGGTTTTTCAATAAAAATGCCATCACATTTATACTACAATAAAACTGAGGGCCTCTGTGGTAGTTGTAACGCAGATTCTACAGATGATATGGCAGCTCCAGATGGAAATATTCCAATAAATGCTGATGAGTTCGTAATAAGCTGGAAGGAAAATGGAACTAGTAATTCAGTTAATTAACTAATCATATACATTTTAATAAAAACAATGCGATTTTTATTTTTGATATAGAATTTGAACAGTGCGAAGCCATTATAACTGAAGTTAAAGAAAAAGAAGAAACGTGTTCTATTCCTAATCCAGATGTCGATCCATGTCTTAAGTTAATGGATTCTAAATTATTTGGCCAATGTCATGCTATTGTTGATGTGAATTTGTACTTGAAAAAATGTCATTCCATTTTATGCCAAGGTCACGAAGGATCATTTTGTCATTCGTTAGAAGCTTATGTTCGTGAATGTCAATCTTTTGGCGTGTGTTTAGATTGGAGATCTCCAAACCTATGTCCTTATTCTTGTCCAAAAGGTAACTAATTAAGAAGAAAATTTGTGTTTATGATTTATAAATGAGAATGTTATTAGGATTATTCTATAAGGCTTGTTCATCTGGTTGTGAAGAGACCTGTGATAACTATAAAGCATTAAGGTCTGGAGAAACATTGTGTAAAAATCTACCCACAGAAATGTGCACATGCCCAACTGGACAAGTATTTAATAATAGCATATGTGTAAACGAAAACCGCTGTGAACCTTGTGATACTGAAAATCATTTTGTCGGAGACACATGGCTTGCTGACAAATGCACTACATGCACCTGTTCAAAAGTTTCAAAAACAGTACACTGTGAAAAAAAACAATGCACCCAATCATTGTTTGCAATTTGCCAAACTGGATTCAAATCTGTAAAAGATGAAGATAACTCAGACGAGTGTTGTGTACAGTATAAATGTGGTAAGTGAAATCTACATTCAGATAAATGTTTATATTTTTTATTTATGTTTTATTTTTAACGAGACGAGTTTATGTTTTAGTACAAGAGGAGAATATCGTTCAAAACTGTACGGATATTGCAATGCCTGTATGCGCAACAGATCAAGTAGTAAAAATGGAATTGACTCCGAATGGCTGTAAGAGATTTATTTGTGGTATGTATAGCTTGTAATAATTTTATTAATTATGCCGTTAATGTCCACTATGCAAACTGTTTTCAGAATGCAAACCTAAGGATGAATGTTATTCGGGTTTACCAGACAAAGATGTGGAACTTTTACCCGGTATGATTAATGTTATGAATAACCAAGGGTGTTGTCCTTCATTCCAAGCGATTTGTGCGCCAGGCACATGTCCTACACCAAAACCATGTCCTATGTACCATGAACAATCTGTTATTGATGATCACAGTTGTTGTCCACAATTTAAGTGTGGTAGGTGAATTTATTGTGCATTAGATATATTATACATTATCATCAGAATACTAAAAAAATCACTTAACTATTTAATTATTTTATGTTATTAGAATTGCCGAATAATACATGTGTGTACGAATATGAGTGGATCGCCTCGACAGAAGGAGGAGAACGCAAGCGCTCTGAAAACGAGAAAACTGTAGTTTTGAAACAAGTAAATTTTCCAGTTAATATAAATGTTAAAGATTTTACCTAAATTTCTATTATTATTTTTTAAGGTGAACGATAATTGGGAAGACGGTCCTTGTCGATCGTGTTACTGTGATGTGACGTCTACCCGAGGAACTTGCAACAAAATTGAATGTGCTGCTCCATTAATAAGTTCCGACTACGTAATAGTATCGCACACAAAATATGGACAGTGTTGCCCGAGTTACAAAAAAGAGTCATGTATTTTTAATGGAACGGTTTATAATGTCGGAAGTGAATGGTCTTCATTTGATCCTTGCTTATCTATGAGCTGTAAGCTCGATAACAATGGCGAAGCGTTTATTACTGAATCCGTAAAAAGTTGCAACACCGAGTGCCCACTGGTAAATTACCTTCTACGGCTATTTTCAAATTAAATCATACAAATATATTATTTAATTATATACAATGCAATTGTTTAGGGGTGGACTTATACACCTTCGACAAACAGTTGTTGCGGAACGTGCTTACAAAAATCTTGTGTGATGCAAAATAAGACCTATGCTGATAACGATGTGTGGACGTACGACAATTGTACGTCGTTTATTTGTTCAAAGTCTGAGTTCAATGAAGTAAGAGTTTAGTTCATTGTAATCCTCATTATAATATTGTATATTAAACATCGTTTTCAGTTTAATATCTTACCGGCATACCACACGTGTCCGAATATTGGTGACTGTCCGGAAAACAGAATCTATTACGACGGATGTTGCGAACAGTGCAATTCCACAGGGGCCATTGAAGCTGAGAGCCATAGCCTTTGCGCTCCAGAGAGTTTACCCATCAATCAAACAGTTGGTCTAATAACAGAAGACAATCCTTTCCACGACACGTGCACAAATACAGAAGCCATAGTTGGGTTCACGGAGTGTCGGGGCCTTTGCGATTCATACACGTACTTCAATAAAAGTGAGCGTCGATAGTCATTGGACTTTGACTCCGTGACTTTTCAACATCATACACGTGGTAAAATATTAACACTCAAACAAATTAATTATTGTTTTCAGAAACAATAAGACACGATTCAAAATGTCAATGTTGTCAGCCAATCCGTTTCGATAAATTGTCGGTGGTGTTGCAGTGCAAGGATGGCTATCAGTATAACAAGCCTGTTCCAGTACCGTCGGCTTGCTCTTGTACGGCGTGCGGTGAAGAGAGCTTTTCGATAAAAAAATCCAGGAAACTTTAAAACAAGACTTGAATTGTAACAATAAAATGAAAATAATATTATCTCATACCTAACCCAATACTAAAACCATTTATTTATTTGAATGTCTAAATAATTAGATGAGACATTTTTTTTTTACGTTTGTATTTATAATAGTATCATAATTTATTATAATATTACAATGTATTAATTAACTAAGCGATTTATTTCTGTCGCATTGCTTTGAATATAATATAGTATATGTGCATTGTACACACCATTACACATAATACAAATTCGCTTTCATTAAACTTGATTTAAAGAAATTGTTGACTTTTCCTTATCTAATACATTAACAACACTAAGAATGTTTTAATTAAGAGTAAAATTTTGATGGCGTATCATCATTTTGTCAGCCATATTCATTAGCATTTTTTATTCTGAGTCATAAGTTTCCTTCTCCTATCTTGTATCATTTATATCTTAAAAAAATATTTTTGAAGTGTTTCAATGTAAATTTGCTGCAATTAAAACGTGGTAATATTTAAAAAAATATAAATTGATATTTAAAACACGAATTACAAAAAACAATTCCCATAAACTGTATTAGGTTTTTTTAGAATAATTTCATAGCTGCCTAGTTTTTAATTTAATTTTAATTTTGGATCTTAAGCATTTATTTTTGGAGTCAGTTTATTTTTGACAAATATTATTCATTCTTACATGAAATTTATTTTAAAAATATACGCAGTGATTAAAAGGTAGGTAGGTAATATACGCAAACACTTTTCTAAGGTCATACCTCATAATAAATAATAACTACCTATGATAGGTTTTTAAACATGATATAATAGTAGGTACTTTTATTTATAACTTCGCTTTATATGTTGGGAACGATTGGCATAGAATTATAATATTGGTAGCCTATCTCGTTGATCATGCTAAAATCCAGTTAGTAATCATAACAATCTATAGGCATTATTGACTATAAAGAAATAATTTGTATTCTTACAGTAGGTTCTTTTTAACTTTTAACTTTAAAATTGAGAGTCAAATAGTGACTGCATAAAGTAAGTCGTAATGAAGAGTTATATGAAAACCTAGTTTTCCTGCTAGCAAATATAACAAATTAAAAATTTGTGTTTATAAAAAGTTATTAATTTTATGTAAAAAGTGTTGTTTTAAAATAGTTTTTTTTATATCAAACTTCTAATAAAAATATTGAACTTATTTCCGAGCGCAGACTGCGTGTATGTATAGTATATTTTTGTTTATTCACCAACTTTAATAAGTATCATTCTCAATATTCCAGTAGAATAGTTTGTGATTGTGATGTATCTTATAAGATTGAAAACGCATTAGTAAAACATAACGCTAAATCTACAGTGTATGTATTTTATGTGGTAATAATTCAATATTTATTGCATTTTCAAACTGCAGATCTAATAATTTGTACACATACATTATATTATGCATGGCTGGTGAACGTTATGTAGACATGTAGCATATACCACTGAGGCACAGAATCAATATTATCGTAATGTTCCATGTCTGCATTTGTATTATGAAGATTAAAATTAATTTCAAGATTCGAAATTACATACATTCAAAGACAAAAACGGCATGTGTTCCCTATGTTCAAATACAATATTCGCCCATCTGTTCGGTAAGTAGTGGTTTATGGGTAATGTCAACTGCCGGTATTGATTAGAATTTATGATGTCTTACATATTTTGTAGAATCTTAAACTATTATGTCTTGAATTGTCCCTACAACATTTTTTTGTGCGCATTTCGCTTTATAAATTGTCACCGTAGTTTGAACTTTGAAGATTTAAAAACGTCCATCACTGAACATTTAGACATACCTATTACCTATACATATAGGTGATTAATAAATATATAAATAATGGTAAGTATCAATTTTTTTGAAACAGAAACACATCTGAAATTTTATAATTTTAAATTAGTTTTTTTTTTTAAATATATATTAAACTAAATAACTTTTAAGGTGTTTTAGTTCTTTGGTTATTTCATATTAAGTCCTTTCTAGATATTTTTTCCACATTTTAAATAATCAACTGAATTCAGAAAAAAACTAATTTATTCAAGTACAAATAATATATTTATTTTATAATTTTATTTATAGGTACACGGGATAAATAAATTATATTTTTCATTAAGAAATTAGAATTTTATAAAAGATAAAAACTATAAATATGCTAAAATTCACTTGCACTGTATTAATCATTGTGTTCGGTAATGAAGTAATTATGATATAGGTATTTTATACCTACATAATAATTAATTTAAACCATACTGTCGTGTATTGTTTACATAGGTTGAACGACTGTTTGTATATTGCTATTAAAACTGAACAGGTAAACTAAAATATATGAGTAGTTGGATTGACAGTAATCAATTTTATGTAGTCAGCAACATACGATTCAATTATTTGTCTTTTTTATATAATATATTAAATTATGTCATTTACATTTATTAGTATTATAATTTATAGTAGAAGAAATTACGTATATTGATTTTATTATACATAATATCAGTCAGCCTGTCAGTATTGTTAGTGTATAATACATGTTATAGATATAAGTATATAACATATACTAATTGGTTCTACTTGCTGAGCGCATGTCCCGATATTTAATTAAACCAGAGCCTATGTTTGGTGATATAAAAATAATTAATAAAACCATATTATGAAATCAATAGAATTATTAAAGATTATTAAATATTAGTTCTTGGTTGGTTAAGACTAACCTTATTTTATTTTTGCTGTTTTAATGGTTAAAAGCTCTTAAATCGATTGTTTGAAAGTTTACAACAAGTCGAAATAAACACACTTATCATTAATAGTTTAGCTTACTTTTACCTAAAAATTATGCTGTGTATTTAAACGTATACATAGACACCTACATAGTTCGTATAATATATAGTGATCATAACAGTATTATAGAATACAGACTATAGTGCGAGTATTGTATATGTTGTCATGTATGAGGCATAATTAATAATTTTTGATGTAATGGTGTCACATATTATTATTATGTGCAAGTATATTAATACCTAATGAAAACTTACTGTCAAATGCATGGACAATGTATGGTAACATGCAGCCTGATGCATACAAATCAAAATCCACAGGCGTTTATATCTATGTATATTTTATACTCTGTGTCTCTGTATAGTTATAGTATGCATGGAATAATATTATATACCTACGTATTAATATATTATTAAAATGTCAAACGAGATTATATTTTCAGAAGTTAAAAATATGTTTTAGGTTTAAAATTGTATTGATTTAAAGTTAGTTGAATTAGTGTTTTTTCCTTATTGGTGCCATTTATAGTAGAAAATATAGTTATCTATGCCAACGACAATATACTCTGTCGGAAGGTTTTTCCGGGAATTGGAGACCAATATCATGTCATTGAACATTATTGTTTAATGTGCTACCGACCTAATGTAAAATACAATTTATATATTACATAAAATATATATTGTCTATACATAGACTGTATCAGAAGTTATTAGGTCAATGAAGACTTAAGCAAGTCTTGCGCATAAAACATTCAAACTATGTGTCTATGTTCATTTTTGGTACGTATATTGTAGATAATATATATTTTAGTAAACCCACTCAGATACATCGCAGTATTTTGGAAGCAGGGAATAAAGTACCTACCTATATCCCGTAAAATATTATTAGGATCTCGTGGTAGCTGCATTACCTATTTACCGGTTAGCACCCAATATATATTATTATTATGTTTTAATATTCTACAATTAAGATTACGGTACACCATCCGTAATCTATCCACGAAAATGTTTCTTTCCGGGGCAAACTTACCGAGACTGTATTTGCAGTAGCTTTACCGAATGTTCACAATGCATAGAGAAGAACTTTATCTATGTCCTAGAGTAGTTGTTGTGTTGTTTATTTTTTTTTAGATTCTGAGTGAAACGATGAATGTATTGATTTTACAATGATGTGTGTTTTTTTATTTTTTTATTTTTTTTATTTTTTTTGTATCTGTGTACACGATAAGTAGTCGAAATAATGCTTCGATTTTCGACTTCAGTATCTTGTTCGATTGGAAAGTGAATATCGTTGGTGCATTGGGGAGGTCAAAATTTAAATTTCCCAGTAGTTTTCACAAGCGCCGGGAAAAACACCATAAAAATTAAGGAAAAACGGGAATTTTTACGCAAAATTGATTTTCCAAAAAATCGATTTTGGTTATTGGTGTAACTCTAAAACAAATGAACGTATATACATGACATTTTCACTGGTTGTTTATATTTGCATTTTCTATACACGATAACATTTTCAAAATATTTTGATTTATTTTGAACTGTTTAGGGACATTTTCATTTTCCATTTTTTTTTAGTTTTTTTTCTAAAAATTTCAATAAAATTTTATTTGTTGGTTGCAAAAGCTTGAAAATTTAATAGAAGGCTCCTAATATGTTGTTTCAAAGGCAGATGAAAAATATTAAAAATCCTTAGTCACAATTTTTTTTTATAAGCATTTAAAGTTCAAAAATTGACAAAATATGGAAAAATCACGAAAATTAGCAAATTATTTTGAGTTAAGAATTCGTAAAAATTTTTCTTTTTAAATCTAAGATTTGAAAATCTAATACAAGATTACTCATAAGATTGTCTACCTTTATCAATAAAAAAATTTCTACCGGAAAGTCAAATTAAATTTTTATGAGCGTTTGAAATTCAAATTTTTACAACATTGGATATTCACTCGATTTCTCATGTGGCAATTTCCTTTTTTTGTTGTAATTAAAAAACGAATTACTGTAGATACATGAAAATTTCACTGAATGTTTATATTAGCATTTCCTATACACCCTACAATTTTGAAAATATTTTGACACTTTTTGAGCCGTTTACGGACATTTTCAGTTTTCAATTTTTTTAGTTTTTTTTTTCTATAAATATCAATTAAGTTTTATCTGTTGGGCCAAAAAGTGTAAAAATTGAATACAAGGCTCCTGATATATTGTTAC